AGATATGAGGTGTCCCTCAAAAGCTCATGTGTGAGACAATGCAAGAAGGTTCAGAGATGTGATTGGGTTGTGACAGCCTCAACCCAATCAGTGCATCAATCTCTTGGTGGGATTAACTGAGTGGCAGCTGAAGGTTTGTGGGGTGTGGCTGGAGGAGAGGGCCTTGGGTGTGGCCACTGGGTATATATTTGTTTCTAGCAGTGGAGTCATTCTGCTTCCTGATGGTCATGTAAGCTGCTTCCCTCGGCCACACTCTGCCTCACCCCAACCCCTGAGGAATGGAGCTGGCCCTTCTATGGACTAAGACCTCTGAAACCATGAGCCCTCAAATAAACTTTTCCTCCTCTACAATTGTTCAGGTCAGATCTTTTAGTCACAGCAGTGAGAAAGCTGAGACTAAACAGATGGACAAGCTGTGACGGTCTCCTGACTATAGCAACTGGGTGACTACCGTTTATAAGGGATGTGAGCTTGAAAATGGCTCACAGAGAAAAATCTTTAATGATTTTATCACCAAGAAATCAGTGTTTGAGGTATAGGAGATGTTAATTAGCTTGATTTAATCAATTCACGGTCTAGCTATATATCCGATCACGATATTGCAGACGTAAATCTACACAATTTTTATTTATAAATTACACCATATAAAGCTTGAGAAGACTCTTTTAGGAGAAATAGTGACATCCGAAAGTATTACAATGAAAATGTTTTTAATTGACTGAATTTTATTTTTAGAAGAATCTTAGATTTGCATTATGATCTTATATTATAATGGAAACTGGAAAGTCCAGTCCAGAAGTTATCAAATATCTCCCTCTAGTCACACAAGCACAGCCCCTCACCACCAGCACCACACCACAGTTCCACACCACAGTGGGCATTTATTACAACTGATGAAGATGCATCGAAGCTCACAGCTTGCAGTGAGGTTCCCTCTGTGAAAGTACCCTACTCACCTATTGAGTAGGGTACTATTCACATCCGGCGATGATGGACAAAGTTGCTATAAATATTTGTAGATTATTTTTTTTTGTGTGTGTACCCAGATTTTTAAGGCATGTGGTTAAATATCAAGAAGTGTGATTGCTGGACGTGCTCTAAGAGTTGGATGCATTTTGTAAATAATTCCAAACTGTTTTCCAAAGTGGCTCTTGCATGCTGCACTCCATCAGCCCTGAATGTAGGTTCCTGTGGTTCAGAATCCAAGATCTTGTCCTAGAGCGTCCTGGATGGGCAGGAGTTTACGCAGGTGTGGGTCAGGGCCAGGATGAGCCAGGATGCGCTGACCTGTCACTCCATGGTGCCCAGACCTGCCAGGCGCAGATGAGGGTCCACACAGTGCTACAGGTGCCAAACACACCTCCTCCCCCAGCAACCTCATCTGCTGACTTCAGCCTCCTGGGAAGTTGGGGTTGCAGCTAGCGACCAGAAAACCACGGTGGGACAGACCTGAATGGAAGTTGAGACTCTAGGGTCACCAATAGTGTTAGTACTTTTTCAAGCCCTAGTTAACTTAAATTTAGACCAATAGCATTGACCCAAGGGCTATATAAACTCAGAAGACTAGCACACTCAAGAGGAACCTCTCTTGGGACTCCTCTTGCCCTGTGGGCAGGGAGTTCTCTTTCTATTCACCTTTTAATAAATCATACTCTTAGACCCTCATCCTTGTTTGTAGATTTCAGTCTGAAATAATAAGTTGGTGAGCTGCTGGGGTCAGCGGCAACACTAGGGGGCACAGCCCACCATTCAGAACTGTAGCCCATTTGTGGACTGCAGAGGCCTGCAGCTTACCAGATCCTACCTGCCAGCAGAAGAGATTCCAGTTTTCAGTTCTACATCCTGCCAGAATTTACTATTTCAGTGTTGGGGATTTTATCCATTCTAGTAGGTAGGGAGTGGCTTATTTTTTCAGTTTTAATTTGTAATTCCATAATGGTATATTATATGATGTATGTTTTCATGCTTATTTGCCATATGTATATTTTTAGTGGTATGATAGAGATAATTGGCAAATTTTTTAATTGAATTGTTCATTTTCTTATTGTTGAGTTTCAAGAGTTCTGATTTTGGATAACAATCTTCGTACATTTTTTGATAAAATGTTCTGTCAGTCTGTGGCTTTTTGTCCCATTGTCTTGCCAGTGTTTTTCAGGGCAGAATATTTTAATTCTAATAAAGTCCAACTTATCAGTTTTTCCTTTTATCAATCATGCCTTTGATCCTGTATATAAAATGTCACCAACAAACCCAAGGTTATCTAGATTCTCTCCTGTTTTCCCCCCTTTTCTCCTTTCTTTCTTTTCTCTTTCTTTTTCTCTTTCTTTCCTCCTCCTCCTCCTCCTCCTCCTCCTCCTCCTCCTCCTCCTTTTTGTACTGGGGATTGAAGCAGAGAGCACTCTACCACTGAGCTCATCCCCAGATCTTTACTTTTTTTTTTTTTTTGAGACAGGCCCTCATGAAATTGCTGATGCCTTGAACTCGTGAATCACCTGCCTCAGCCTCCCAAGTCCCTGCCTGGGATTATAAGTGTGCATTATCATGCCCACTAATCCTGTTTATTTTCTAAGGATTTTGTGGGCTTATTTTTGCATTTAGGCCAATGGTCCATTTTGAGTTAGTTCTTGTGAAGCATGTGAGCTGACTAGATTTTTTTTTAACATGCAGATTTCTAGTTATTCCAGCATCATTTGAAAAGAAATGTGTACATTTTCTTCATTGAATTTCTTTGCTTATTTATCCAAGATCAGTTGACTGTGCCAGTCCATTGGTGACCTATTGTGTTCCATTGGGCTCTGCGTGTTCTTTCACCAACAACTATCTGGGTTACCATGGTTATATGAAGTCTTAAAGTCATGTTATGTCAGGCCTCAAAATGTTTTTCTCTTTAATATTGTGTTGGGTATTCTGAGTCCTTTGCCTTTTCATGTAATTTTTTCTATTTTTTATTTTGAATTGACTCCTGTTGCACATATTTAAGGGGCAGAGTGTGGCATTTTAATACATATGTGCAATGTATAATGGTCAGGTCAGGCTAACTGGCATATCCATCACCCCAAATGATTATCATCTCTTTGTATTGGGAACACTCACAATCCCCTCTGTCAGCTATTTTGAAATATTCAGTTAATTATCCTACTATGCTACAAAATATTACAAGTTTTTCTTCCTATGTGGAATCTACACATGACTGGGATTGCATTAAATACATAGATGAAATTAATACAGCTGAGTTTTCCTGTCCATGAATATGGGATAGCTTTCCTTTGATTTCTTTCATTAGAATTTTATAGTTTTCCTCATATATATTATACATATTTTATTAGATTTATACTTAGATATTTAACTTTTTGGGAATGCTCATGTAAACAGTATCTTTTTCTTTATTTTGAATTCCATTTGGATAACCAGTTGATTTTTGTACCTTAACATTTTTTTTTATCCTACTTTAATTTGCCTATTAGTTCCATCCCCCCTTTTTTTCTGGTCATCCCTTGTGATTTTCTTAATAAACAGCCAATGTTTTTTGCAAACAATGACAATTTATCTTTCTTTTTAATTCTTCTTTCTTGGTGTGCTTGATTCTCTTTCTTGTGTAATTCCACGAACTAGTACTTCCAGTGTGATGTTCAAAAGGACTGGTGAGGAGAGACATCTGTTTAGTTAGATTCTACTTCCTGTGGTCAAAGACCGGAGAAGGCTATTTTGATACAAGATTTCAGACATTCAGTCTATAGTTGGTGGAGGGAGGCAGAACATCATGGCAGAAGGTGTGTCAGAGGAGAGCAACTCTGGATATGGCAACTAGGAGGCAGAGAGCTCTGTTAACCAGGGACAAAATATAAACCCCAAAGGTACACCCCCAGTGACCCACCTCCTCCAGCCACACCTGTCTGCCTACAGTTACTGGCCAGTGAATCCATACCTGGATTAATCCACTGATTAAGTTACAACTCTCATAATCGAATCATTTTGCCCCTAAGATTCTTGCATTGTCTCACATATAAGCTTTTGGGGGACACCATAAGATTCAAACCATAAACCTTGCCTATTTCTGATCTTGGCAGGAAAATGTCCAGTTTCTCACACAACCGTGAAGTTAGCGTTGTGTTAGCGGTAGGATTTTATAAATTCTTTTCATCAAGCTGAGGAAGTTCCCGTCTATTCCTAGTTTGCTGAGGAACATATATTTATATTTAATATAAAAATGGTACATGGGGTAGTTGTGTGATTTGAATCTGATTTTTTGTGAAGAAAAAAAGTATTTTGCCTTGGAAAAAAGGAGGCCATATCTAATTCAAAGCAGTCACCTTTGGTGGGATAACTGGTATCTTTCTTCACATATTCCCATATTTTCTAAATTTGTACCAATGGACAATAACATTATGAAAGGTGATCAGGTAATCTGGAAAGAATGGCCGGTGAACATGGAAACACAAAACCGACTTGAAGCTAAAGAAAAGGGGTATCTCCAAAGAGAAAACGGTCGGGGTATGGTCTCATCAGTGAGAAGGTGCGCTCTTTGAGGACAGGTTTGACTGCGCCATCCCGAAAATAAAACGATGTAGTTTGTCTCAGCTTTGTCTATGAAATACCATTTATTTATTTGGCATTCTGAGTGTAGAGGCGGATTTTTTTTCTTTCGGAGTAGTTTTGGTCTTTGTGAGGTCGGGGGCGGGGGCGGGCGTGGCAGCATCCGCGCCAAGGCTTGTGGAAGTGCCCCGCCGGGTCCGCGGGCTGTGGCGGGTCCTGCAGGCGGAGGAGAGCGCTGCACGCCCCAAGGCTGCGGGCGGAGCTGGGGGCCCGGCGGGCGCACTTGGGCTGCGGGAGCGGGGCGCAGCGCCCCCGCCTGGCTCCACGCTCCGACCGGGCGCACCCCCGCCCGCCCAGGTGCCTTGGAGCGCACTGCTGGGAGCGCTCTCCCGGCCCCGCGGCACCCGCGCCCGCGCTGTGCTAGGGCGGCGGCGACAGTGACTGGCGAGGGGCGCGGCACTGCTCCGCCGCTCCGCTGCTGGCTGGCTGCAGTGGGCCCCGCGGGCTGAGCCACCCGCCGCACACCGCGGAGGTGCTTGGGGACAAACCAGGGCGCTCAAGGCTGCGCTGGGCGGACCCGTGGCGGGCAGCGTTCTCACCTCTCCTGGCCAGCAGCTGCCGCTAGCTCGGGCCCGTGGCCCCTCTGCCTCAAGTCTGGGAGCTCCGGGCCTCACCCTGCCGCTGCCTATGGGGATCCGAGAGTTTCCCGGCGGCGCACCCAGGGGCAAAGGCATCGCCATGTGAGTAGCGCCCGGGGTGTGGGCGCGCGAGCCGGCCGGCAGATGGCCCGTGTGCTGGGTGGACTCTTGCAGCCGCGACCTCGGGCACTCGGGGGTCCGGGAGGGGCGGCGTGCTTGGCGGGAAGTTTAAGGCACCTTCTTCCTCGCCACTGCCCCCAACCCACACTGCCGGAGGCGCCCAGGGGAGGGCGCGGGAGACGGGAGACGAACCTGACTTCGAGGCTTGGAGCGAGCAGAGGTGGGTGGCGCGAGGGAGCAGCCCCGGCTGCACCCTGGCTAGTCCAGGGCCCCGCTCCTCACTGAAACCCCCTCTCTGTCCTTAATCCCTCTCCGCCTGCCCACCTGCCCGGGCGCCCGCGGCCTCAGTGGCATGAGGAGGTCACCGGACGTCAGCCCTCGGAGACTATCCGACATCAGCCCCCAGCTCCGGCAGCTCAAGTACTTGGTGGTAGACGAGGCGATCAAGGAGGACTTGAAATGGTCGCGCTCGGTGGAGGATCTCACTAGCGGGCCAGTGGGACTCACCTCCATCGAGGAGCGGATCCTGCGCATCACAGGCTACTATGGCTATCAGCCCTGGGCAGCGAGCTACAAAAGTAAGACACCCCCGCCCCCATGCCATTTCCCTGCCCACTGGTCTTCCTACCACTGTCACAGCCGCCTGGGGAGCGCGCTCTATGACGGTCCTGCCGCCAGCTACCGCCCTGCCCGCAGGTTTGCAACTTTGAGGAAGAGGCCTGGAGACAGTTCTCCGGAGCTGTCAGGGCTTCTGATCCGTTATTTCACAAGCCTTTCCCTCCCACACAATCCCTCTCCATCCCTTATCCCCTTCCTCGGGAGGTGTCACAATATGGAGGGCACCCCTCTTGTGGCAGAACGTGAGAAACGCGCAATCGAATCAGTATCCTGGACTGCGTAGCTTTACTGTGATCAGAAAGTGTTACTGGGCCCCGGGTTAGGCGCAGCTGGCTCTTTTGGAGAAGGCAGACTTAGGCAGCCAGGATTTTAACTCTTTCCGGTGCCTCCTAGGCAGGATGATGGAGGACAGTTCTTTATATTTCAGCCCCTCCTTTTGCCCCAGGACTTTTGGGGTCCTCAGTGAGGAGGTTCCGTAAGGATCAGTGTAGATTCTGGCGCGGTGCTTCCAAGATGAAACAAAGCTTGGTGCCAGGTAGAGATGCTGAAACTTCTTTACTGTGGGCTTCAGCTGACTGTGCCTGGAGCAATGACACAGATCTCCCCGTTTTTGGCTTACTTTGGAAGAGAGAGAGGTTGCCTACAACAAACTCCAGATGCTGATAAATATAACAAGAATTGAGTGGTCTCATCACTGTGTTTGGACACAGGAAAGATGTGTTAACCACTTCAGTCAAAGAAATGAGCATTGCCTCATTTATGAGTAAAAGAGTGGACTAATAGTTTGATAATTCTGAGGATTTTAAAAACCTGTTATTTATTGCTTGAAATTGCAATTTATTGGTCCTAGGAAGATAACAGGCTTTTGTAATTTAATCGTATTCATCACTAAAACTATGTCTATCTTTAGGTTATTTCTAAAACCTTCAAGTCCAAGTCAAATATAAGCAGTCTACTAGCAATGAGCTTATATTTTGGGGAAGTAACACAGGATTTGAATGTTTAGCTTCTATGCCCTTGCTGGTCTTTAGAGGACTCTGGTGAGTGCATTTAATTCAGCATAAACCTTACAGTGATGTATGTGTACTCCTCTCCTGACTGCTGCTGAAATCATCGCTGGTCTGCTGGCTTTAGATTGCAGAAGGAAGACAAGGGACCAAGTTCCCTTTCTATCTGAAAAACATGGGGTGTAGGATGACAAGAATTCAAACCCATTGGAAACCATTTATCTTGTGGCTATGAATATGACCTCACTTTTATTTCTGCTTTTTCGAATTTCTGATAGAAAATACAACTTTTCTATTTCTTGTTTTCATTCTCTGTTTCTTTGTAATTGAGGACTATGATACAAATCATAGTTTTTGTGGAGTCATCTCTTCAGCCCCTGAAGTCATGATTAGGTTTATTTTTATAATTCTATTTGTTCTTGGCTCTAGGTGTTTTCTGGAAATGATCACTGAGGTTTGTGACTCGAGGGGCGCTTACAGTGGTGATGACTGAGTTTGGTACAAACATACTTAATGATTAAGACCATGGAAACGAGTCCTTTGAACCACCAGGAGTATTCTTAGATGCCCTCTCTCTCTGAGGCATCGTTGAGGGGATAAGTACTAGCAGACAGGCTGTAGGAGCTCCAGCCATGGGAATAAAATCAGCTCACTCCACTGTGTTCCTGTGAGGAGCCTTCTTTATTCCAAGGTATTTCCTTGCTACTAAAATGCTTTGGGTGACAACTGACATTTTGATGCATTAATTGGAGTTTACGTTTAAATTTAGAGAAGCTAATGTTTTATTCATACAGTGGGAGAGGTTCTAGGGCAGTGTTTTTGCTGCTTGCCATTTCTACCCAACTAAGAAAATAAGAGCAGAGGCTTATCCATCTGTATGTAGTGGTTGGTTAATTTGTTGCTTAATAATTGAAAAAACAAATTGCAAGAGACATAATTACAAAACAGAATATTCTCCTCATGGTGTCCACAGAGGCTCCAAGCCTGGTCCTTACAGTTTTGATGTTACCTCTCAGTTTTCTTTCCAGGAGGCTTCTCTGCATTCTGACTGTAGGAGAGTTTCTGGACTCTTGGAGAGGTGTGCAGCTGCCCAGGCAGCAGCAGAAAGAATTTAACCAAGTATTCAGCCACACCCCCTTCATTTTTAGGCTTTGGCAGTTAAGATAAATGAGATAATTACGAACTATCCTCAACCCCAATAGTGACAGCCACAAGTTTCACTCTGGACAAAAGACTTTTTATGAGAAACTATTATTAATGTTTTTAAATTCTAAAGCCCCTGAGGCTTGAGAGGGACGTTTGTGTGGAAGTCAAGCTCTCAACAAGTGGGCGGGCAAGGCTGAGTCCCTTCTCTCAGTGGCTCCACTCTCCAGGCTCCCATTCTGAGTTCCTGCAGTGACATTGGCAGGGATTCTTTGAGTTACCAGCTGTGAGCTCTTCCACAGCCCAGAAAGCACCTAGTGCTCATAAATATTTGCTAAATGGACGAATGGATGGTACTTGAACTGCTGGCCTCTGGGACCCATATCATTTAACTTTTTATGCTGACTTCCTATTACTTTGGAATTGCTTTACTCTTACATTGGAAGTGTTTTCTGAGACATAGACTAGAACAGAATTCTTGATGATAAGCTTTGGTGTAGCCCAGTGTTTCTGAACCTCAGTTATTTGCAGTTTTTCCTGGGTGTTATGGGGACTGTACGTCATAGGGCACTTAGTAGCCTTGCTGGCCTCTGTTAGATGCTAGTAGCACACCACCACCCCTAGCTGTGACCATCAAATATCTCCAGATGTTGCCAGATGTCCCTTGGAGGGCTGTGTTTGGTTGAGATCCACTCATTTACTTGAACCTCATTCTTACTTCCCAAGTGCCCTCTACTCTGCTGACCAGTGGTGCCCATGGAGTGGACCTGCTCCAAATTCCTCATCTTCCCCTTCCTTCTCCTTTCACCTGGCCCACTCCTTGGGTTTTCATGATGGGCCACATTACAATGAAGGTCTTTATTTATTTATTTTTTATTTATAGATGGATGCAATATTTTTATTTCATTTATTCATTTTTATGTGGTGCTAAGGATCCAACCTAGTGCCTCACATGTGAGAAGCAAGCGCTCTGCCACTGAGCCACAACACCAGCCCCAGAATGATGGTCTTTTTGCAGACTCAAAAAGGCCTGTTGCTTCTGTAGCTAGTGAGATTCCAGCCCCCTCCCTCATAAGTCAGCAACCCGTAGAGAGAGCTTTAGGAGTTGGAAGGATCTAATATAGTTGCTCAGAAGAACATCCTTGCCCAAAGTAGGGAAGAGTGACTGACCTAAGTATCTTCTGCTGCTTCTCCCTTCTCTGATGTTGCTGCCATTGGTTGGTGAGGGTGTGTGTGGGGGGAGATGGCTATGGAAGGGAAGAGGGAGCCCAAAATCAGGAATGTGCTATCTGTATGTGGACAGCTCCAGGTGTCTGGCAGGATAGGAGTAGCACCTCTGCACAGGGAAGACAGAAGGGGTGACCTTGGAGGTCCCCGATGGAGGGTCCTATGTGACTGGGGAAGGAGTACTCATCTGCTCCTTCGTTTCCTCTGTTGATGGAATCTTTTTGGAGCATTCGCCCTGTGTCAGAATACAGAACTGAGCTCCGGAAGACCGGCTCGCTGTACAGGTATTCCCTCTTCAGGGAGTGCAAAGGCAGTGCTCTGCATAGACAGCAGGAACCCAGGGCGAGACCTGGTGACATCAAGGGTGAATGTTTACAGAGGCAGGACTCTTTATTTGTGGAAGGTCTGGATGTGGGACAGACGAGGCTGGATACCCAGGGAATTTTCAGGAAGCAGGTTTATTGACTGCAGGGTCCAGAGGGGTTATTGCCCAAATCATTCTCTGGACTAGAAATGCTTTGGACTTAATACAGAGTTGGTGGAGTGGGGTTTGGAGGGGTGTGGAGCTTGGAGGTTCACAAGACAGTGCTTTTTGTTCCAGTTTTTAGAACAGTCAGAGGTTTTACACGTTTTACCACAGAAGCAGGAGCAACATCAGCAGGTTTGCAGTTAAACTTAGCTTTTGTGAGACACAGCAATAGAAAATAGGAAGGTCTAACCACATTGAACTGTTTTGCAAAAATCTTTGTTGATATTATATTAACAAGAAAAATTATGGCGAGGGTCTTCTGGGTACGGAGTCTTTGGGCTGCTTCAGTTTCCCGAATGGTGCTGTTGACTGCACACTGTCAACAGCTTTCCTAATCAAAAGCACTTTCTTAGGAATTACTTTGAGGGGGGTCATGTTTATTGCTTGAAATGAGATACAAATGTGTTTGTAGTAGATTTAACACCATGGTGCTAGTATGTTGAGATAAAAATGATTTTTTTAGAATGCTCATGAGTTTAGTTTTAAGTCATTTTTAGAGTGGAGGGCAGGCTAATCCCAAAGGCCACCCACCTTTAGTCCAGTCCTGCTTTCCATCTGCAGCGTGAGCCTGGACCTGGAGCCTGCAGGGTACTGAGCAAAGTCTCCCTCATCTGGATGGAGATTTTCTAGTTGCAGCTGAGAAAGTGGAGGGTGTTCACTCACATCCCTGGGGACGAGGGTTGCAGAGGGTTTGCATGAGGTGAGTGGAGGGGCTTCTGGGGCAATCCTGCCCTTGGGCCCCCTCAGACTGAATTGAGGGCAGGGTTGCCAGTGCCAGAGTGGTGGCTGCTGTGGTGGAACTTGGGTTGCAGGGCTCCTGTGAGGTCCTCTGGAGCAGCAGGGGTTGGGCCAACGACTCAGAAGTGGCACTGTGTTGGAGACGGAGGAGTTGGTGGTAAACATAACTCTCAAAGGCAGCTTGGCACATGAAATATGAGATGGAAAACATTTAACAGGGAAGAGTTGGAGGTGGCTGAGGTGGGGTAAACACTAGAACACACATTCTCTAATGTGTTAGAACGTAACTTTGGTTCCTGAGTATAATTGCATACTA